GCACCGAAAAAAGTGACTTATGACCATTTTTCACACTTACGACTGTTGCAGCATCCCCACAGTCATGAGAGGCCAGGCGAGGAGATGCATGCCTCGATGTGAGTGATGTTGAGTTGGCCACGCCCAGCCAGTAACATGACCACCAAGCCATGTCCACCCAGTCACATGACCACCAAGCCACACCGACCACCTAAGCCATGCCCACAGAACCGGTTGTTAAAAATTTGAATCCCACCCCATTCCCTCCCTCCTTCCCTTCTTAAAGTCTATACTTCCACAAAGTTATCTGTCAAGTCACCAAATGTGAATGGTGATTGGAGAGAAAGTTAGGAGAGGCAGTGGTGGAAGGAAAAACAACATTTTTCTCTTTAAATGTGCAGTGCCTGCTGCTTTCTCATTTCTGGTATAATTACACTTTGACTGCATTGACCCCAAACATTTATTACTGAATTACCTCATTTTCTTACAAACAGATAGATTTGCAAAATGTTCTAAATCAAAACAATAACAACAATGTAAAGAAAGTTGAATGAATGCATTTCTTAGGATTTTGACTTTTGTAGTTAACCATTCAATATAAATCAAGTCCTTTACTACAAATTGATATTATAGTAAAGATTACCAGAAAATATATTTTGTTTTCTCTTACTATAAATAATTAATTTTATCTCATAAAAAAGCTTCAGTTCACAAAATCAGATCATCCCCATCATCATCTTCATTAAAAAAATAAACTATATTTCAAATTTTTATTCAAATCATGAAGTTTAAATTAATAGAATAGCTGCTATTGACGCCATACCTGGGTGTTCATAAGTTTTTAGATAAAGATAAAATGGGGCTGGCAGCTTACAACTTAGCAAGTTGTCATTATTGGAATGGCAAATGAATCTAGAACAAAGCTATATTCAGACACGAGTATTGGAACATGAAGGATGATTTTCGTAGAGAACTCTCTACAATCCAACACCATTGAATTGTTAAGTATACTGTGTATATAAAATAAAATAATCTCAATCAATATGATATCACCTAGATAACTATGTTGAGCCAGATGAAGATATTTTCCTTTTAAATTTTAACTGTCTTTGAATGAGGTGAGAAATAATCTGCGCTATACAACCCCTAATTCCAACAGTCATAACATAGCCATATTCCATTATTTTTTCCATTGTTGTTATTTAACTTTCTTTCAAGTTTTGCTTCCATTTTGCATCCATTTTTTTATTTTTGTTGTTTCCGCTAATGCCTATATTTCTATATGTACCATAATATGTGGTGCTGTTTTTTTAAAAAAAAGTTTTTTATGTAGTTACAGCACAATGGAAATTTCAATAGTAAATAACTGGCTTAAGATTGAAACCATTATAATACAATCTGTGATGTGAGTTGTAGCAGTTATCCATCCATTGCAATCCAGATGGATGGATGGATGGATGAATGGATGGATGGATGGATGGATGGATGTGTGTGTATACATATATATGCCATATACATGCCACATATATGCCATATATATGCTTTGACGACGTGGAACTGCAGGCGGGCGTGACTGACTGGCTCAAATCTCAGGCGTCAAAGCACTGTGTTCCAAGCCAGGTCTTCATCCTTGGAAACAAGTGGTGCAAGATCGGGGCTGTAGGGCGGATGAGGAAAAATCTCCCACTTGAAAGCATTCAGGACTTCTCGAGTGCCATAGTTCGGCCATTTTTAAAATTAATGCACCATTGGCACACTCCACCTTAAGTGATGATGTTGTCCCTGTACACTTCACACAGTTGCTGAAAAATTTCAATCGGTTTATGGCTTTTTGCCAACAAAAACCTTATCACTGATCGCACCTCACAACTCGCGGGATTTTCAATTGCAGCACACATTTCAAATATTTGCTGTGAAATAACGGGCAACGATACGAACTTCCCACTAGCACGACTAGATGCAGACTGAGCGGCGGACGCACAGACCAAAGATGGCTGTGCTAGCTCCGCCCCTACTTGCTACAGACGAAAACGTAATCTATTTTGTGGATAGCCCTCGTATATCTTGGTATCGTCTCTGTGTTGCCTCTGTGCTAGCATTCATGTAAATGTTAAACAGTGTTGGTGAGAGAATTGAAGGTTTTAAGTTATCTGAAATCACAGATCAACAGCCTTGAAACCACTCAGGAAAGAAGCCTATTCAATCACATCTCAAACTAGAAGAAATAGAGATTAAGATGAGACAATAATTTCAGGTTTTGGCAGTCAATGAAAAGGAAAAGAAATTTTTCCTTTTAAATTTTAAATTTCCTGGAAAATTTTAAATTTCCTGGAAAACATTACAAATTGCCTATAAATCACAAACTGCCTTGAATAGTTCAATTTACCTGCGCCAAATGGCATAAATGCTTCTTGAGTCTGAAAATTCCCATCTTTGTCTAAAAAGTGATTTGGGTTGAATTCTTCAGGTGTCTACCATTGTTCAGAATCAAGCAGAGCAGAACACAGGTCTGGAAAAATAGCAGTTCCCTTCAAAAACAGAACAGAAAGGAAAATCTAATCTGTGTGCATGCTACAGCAGAGGTAGCCTCCAGTACTGCATTCTAACCACTGCACCACCATAGCTCTTTATAGCTTTATAATGATCTATCTGCCTTTTAACATCACTATGTTACTAATTTAACAATTTCTACAAGCTTTTCTGGAGGGTTTTTGAGGTCTGATACTAAGCACTGTTAGCCATGTGTTTGGAATGGTTTTCCTTTTCTATTAGATGCATAGTTTCTTTCCAGAAATAATGACGTACCTCCCAGGCCCTCACCAGGAGGCCTTGGCTACGTCAGCAATGATGATTTCCTTTATAAAGCTTTGTTGTTCTGTGTGGTCATTGAAGAAAGATGGCTATGAGGAATTCTGGGATGAAGGGAGAAGAGGCATACTTGGATATGGTACGTGTCAGGGAGAAGCTCTAATTCCAACTTCAAAGTATTCTTAGTTTGATATATTGCAGTTGATCACTCTTTGGACACATATGGCAACTATTGAATGGTGCAAATGAGTGGTCTCAATACTGCGCATGAATATATAAATTATTGTAGATGCCATGTCCATCAACCAAGGGCTATAGATTGAGTATGATGGGCTTATGCCAGTAAAGTTGAATCAAATGTGGATGCAGTTATTCATATATTGAAGCAGTTACTGTTGTCGTTGGTAGCTATTTACATTTATATAGCAAGCTGTTTATAGTCAACACTGACCTCAAATCTTTGAAGACTATTTCCCTTGTGTTTTGGTTCAATCCTGTGCTCATACTGAATGTTGGATGTATCTTATATATATTTGGTCTTAGCCCATACAAACAAGGCTAAAGGTAATGATACCTTATTTTTACGTTCTGAAATTGGGAACAATTTCACATAGGCATCTCTTACTTCTTATAGCATTTTAATATATGTGTAGATCACACACACACATACACACACACAAAGTATAATATATATGTAAGTCTAAAGATCAATTATCATTATGATGTGCCATCAAATTAAGGTTGATTCTTGGTAACCAGATATACAGAGCTTCTCCAGAGTGATCTGGAGAACCATTTGGATAACCATTTGTCCCAAATGGTTTAGGATTTCCTGCCTAAGCAGGAGGTTGGACTAGAAGACCTCCAGGATCCCCTCCAACTCTGTTATTCTATTATTCTGATCTGTCCCCAATCTGGCACTTCAGATCCTCCAATGGTGATCCCTTTTCTCTCTAATTGTGCCCATGTACTTTGTTACTGGTTGTCCTTTTCCTACTCATCACACAAAAGATCAGAACCAGCAATATTCTTTCTATCCTGCTTCTTCAAAGGGCAGAGTTTCACTTCCAGAGTGCGACAGGGAAAACCAGAGCTTTGTAATTATAAAAATACGGTATCTGAATATCTTCTCCTAGTACTTCATTGGTAGCCTATTAAGTGCAAGTCTGCAGCATATATTTTTGTCTTCGGATTCCTTTACTGTTATCTTAGATCATAAAATATACTAGATCAGAAAAGGCAGAAGCTGTCAGTCACTTATTAATGCTAAGGCTAATTGCTGAAACTATTGTTATTTGTTTGATCTTTTTATTTAATCATAGTCTTGTTGTTTCATTGTGTTGACTTTCAGTGGCAGAGCATCCAGGTTTTTTATATTCTCAGCTATTCATGGCAGTGCCATCAGTATAGTGAGGGGTACTCCAATTTATTCCTGTAATTTTAAAATATTTCTCATCTTGGGTTGGATGAACAGAGGTATGATGTTGAGATCATGAGAAGTGATAGTTTCACTCTACGCTGCATGGTCAGACTACACCTGAAACACAGTGTGAAGTTTTGTCATTACAAGAGAAGAAAGTACACACATAGGTATGTGGAATGAAAACGACGGACCACAAAGTAATGATCAAGGCCCATGTTTATTAAATGCATTGGGAAGTGGGAATGTCTTCATAGAATAACAGAGTTAGCAAAGTGAGATACCTTGCCATCAAAGAAACGCACATATTTATGCAGTTCAGAAAGATGGAAAAAAAATTGTACAAATATTTATATGCAAATAATACACATTCATAACAACATAATATGTTTCTGGTTACTTCCTACCCTGAAAAAAAAAACCTTAGTGAAGAAAGAAACATTTACATCTTGAGATTCAGGAAATGTTCTGAGATAAACTTACAACAGGTTCCTAGACATTGCAAGGCCAATTCTTTTTGTTTCAGTTTGTCTTAAACTGTGCCATTCAACTGAAAATTGATTTACCCCACAACTGAAAGTGTGTTTATTGAAAGCAAGATATTTATTTTTTACAGAAAGCATAACCAAAGGCAAACCTGAAGAAGCTTAGTTGATTGTATGCAAGCAGCCATTTGGATAAAGTAGTTTTAGCATATAACAAATTGAATGAGTTTCAAAACAGGGTATAAATATTAAGGGAAAAAGTTAAAGTGTTGTTAAAATGAAAGATACTAATACTCAATTAATGGATTTTATGATGTGTAATATGGAACAGCACAGATTTTAAAAGGATGTGGAGTTAATCCCACACTTACTATAGGTTTCTCATCAAGCTTTTTCACTCCTTCAGGTGGCTGGAAATGGAAAGTCCTCAGCAGGTTGGTTAGTATGATGAACATCTCAATTCTTGACAACTTTTCTCCTAAACAGGCACGTTGCCCTGTGGAAGAGACATGGGAAGGACAGAAAATGGAAAATAATCTGTACTGAAATATCACTTTGGCTCCAAGATGAATCTGTAGTAAACAAGTGATGAGCATTTGTTAAGGATATCCTGATGTTTTGCTGAACTGGAGAAAGCATTTCAAAGCAGGACATTCTCCCCCCCAAGACATGCTCATGGTATCTCAGTAAACTTGATTGCAGGAAATACAACTTCAGCAACAGAGTGGTCAATGTCTGGAATACCCTACCTGACTCTGTGGTTTCTTCCCCAAACCCCAAAAACTTTAACCTTAGACTGTCTACTATTGACCTCACCCCTTTCCTAAGAGGTCTGTAGGGGGAGTGCATAAGTGTGCCTACTATCCCTGTCCTATTGTTTCTTTTTATTTTTCTTATATGTATCCATTTCATGTATTCATAACTATGTTTATTCATACCTATTGTCTTGTAAGCGATTGACAAATCAAATAAATAAATAAATAAAATAAAATGTTTAAATGGTCCAAATAACATAGCACACATTTTCTCTTCTATAAATCTGGGAGGCTGAAATGTTTGCTGTCTGGAAATTTTGGTTCAAAAACTTTGCAAATGCAGGACACAACATTGTCAAACTTGGCTTTGTATGTGTGATTAATTGATGTATACTTTATTGTAAAATTATACAAACCCCTTCAAAAGAATATGATCTAAGCCATTCATTTCTAGGAGCCTCTGTGGTCTCAGCTAGTCCTATTGTTCAGCAAAGCAACTGTGACGAAGGAGAACTGTCCCCGTACCTCATAGTTTTCCTTCAAGTTGACCAACTGCCAATTCACTCAATTTATATCAGACAGCTGAAGTTTTGGGAGCAGACCAAGTAAACCTCTTATATTGGATTACAAACAAGAACCCTTAAAGTCTTCAACTACCTCACAATAAGAACCAGAAAAAGAAGTAATTTTGTAGCATTACTTTTATGAAGAATTTGGGTATTCTGGCCACAAGTTTATATACCAGCTGTGAACTGCAGCTACCAAAAAGCCAGTGCAAACCTGAGCTGCATCGGGAGAGGTGTGATGTCAAGATCATGGGAAGTAATATTTCCACTCTACACTGAACAGGTCAAACCACATCTGGGCCATTATTTCCAGTTTTGGTTGCCACAATACAAGAAAGATACTGAGGAACTGGAAGAAGGGCAGGGGGAAAAATGATGAGAAATTTGGAGGTTAATCCCATGAAAAAAAAAACTTAAAGGAACTGATTGTAATTAGCATAAAGAAGAAAAGGCTGAGAGAGACCATCATTCCATTAGCAATCATCTAATATTTGAAGGCCTGTCCGGGATGTGGATTCTTCAAAATTCCTCAGGATTGGACAAGAAACCTGATAGACCTTTTACACAAAAAGATCCAAACTAAAAACAAGGAATAATTTCCTGATTCCAAGAGCTATTTAACAGTTGAACAGCCTGCCTCCTGGAGTCATGGATAATCCATCAGTTTTCAAGAAAAAGTTGGGTAGCACTTTGAGTTGGATCATTTGAAGATCCCATTTTTGGATAGGGTATTGGAGTCGAAGATCTCTGAAGTCTTTTCCGATCACTTACTGTATTTCTATGGTTTTAGGCAGTTTAGAGAGATGCAAAGGGAAAGAGATGTGCTAGACTACAGCTTTTCCTGAGTTTCCATTGAATTGCTATATAAAATAATCCTCATTCAGTCGTGCTACTGAAGGGAAGGCAATATTAGCTATCAGAGGTGGGATATGAAAGATCTGGTCATCAGATCAAAATATGCTGGTATTTTGCTTTTCTTGAGAGACAATGGCTTTCTGTGAGTCACCAACACAAGCTATTTAGTCTTGAGATATATTATTACATATTTCCATCTCATACTGTTCTTGGATTGGTAGGCTATGGGAAGATACCGATTTGCTAGTTTCTCTAGATCAGCCCTTCCAACATTTGTCACAAATTCAGATTCAGGAAGAGGCACCTGCTTTTTCTCCTGACCCTCTCATCATCGGCTCCTAATCTAAGATTTTTTTTAATGACATTAGACTCACAAACAAAGTAGAAACAAACATAAGGGGGAAAAATTATTATTTGTAGGTAAAAAAGAGTTTTAGATTGGTGAGAAAGTTTCCTTTCAAATGAAAAAGGGGCTGTTTTAAGAAGCAACAAATCATAAAATCATCGGCTGAAGGGACATTGGAGATCTTCTTATCCAGTCACCTGGATAAATGGTTGTCCATCTTTTTTTGAAAACCTCCGTTGATGGAGCACACACAACTCTAGGAGGCAAGCTATTCCCTTGATTAATTGTTTTCATTGTCAGGAAATTTCTCCTTAGTTCCAGGTTGGCTCTCTCTTCAACCAGCTTCTGCTTATTGCTTCTTGTCCTACCCTCAGGTGTTTCTCTGTGACAGTCCCTCAAATACCAGAAGACAGCTATCATGTTCCCCCTAATTCTTCTCTTCATCAGGCTAGACATGCCCAGTTCTCTTAACCATTCATCATGGGATTTGTCATCCCTTTGTCATCTTTGTTGCTCTTCTCTGCACTCTTTCTAGGATCAGAGTTCATCAGAGGCACTCAGATAATTGGGCAGTTTACCAGGCCACCACTTGTGAGCCACAAAAGCACCAGTGTAATCCAGTCTGCTGGGTTAGTCTAGCAGTTTCTGCTGTTGTACTGGCTTAGACAAATAACTTCAAAAGATATTAACATTTAACATTCTGAATCACAGGATAAAGCAACATTGGTTAAATTAGATCAAATACAGTGGAATAACACACTCCAGGAGTCTTTTTCAGACCAAGCAATCATGGTTTTTGGATTCCATTTGGAACAGGTCAACTTTGCTCTAGATTCTGGCCACAATGATTTCACCCTGTACATGTACTGTCCAGGTAATGTCATTCTTTGCAACAAGCTATTCACATGTCCACAATGTAAAGCTAATAGAAACTTCAATCACATCTCAAACTAGAAGAAACAGAGATTAAGATCAGACAATAGTTTCAGGTTTTGGCAGTCAGTGAAATGGAAAAGAGTGGTTTTAAATTTCCGGGAAAACATTACAAATTGCCTATAAATCACAAACTGCCTTGAATAGTTGGATTTACCTGCGCTAAATGGCATAAATGCTTCTCGAGTCTGAAATTTCCCGTCTTTGTCTAAAAAGTGATTTGGGTTGAATTCTTCAGGTGTCTCCCATTCTTCAGGATCCAGGAGAACAGAGCGTAAATCACTCACAATAATGGTCCCCTTCAATAACAGCAGAACAGAAAGGAAAAATTAACGTGAGCTGTTTCATAACACACGAAAGTAGAAAATTTTTGTAGAGGAAGCATTTGTTGGCAATAGACCACCATCACTCTCCCTCCTTCTTTTTCTCTCTCTCAGCTTTTCCAAATTCCCTTTTAATGCAACAACTAATCTACAAAATGAAGGTTTTTGTTCATCCATTAAAAGAAAGGGCTAGTTTCACATTTGTTACTCTTCCCTACCAGGGTGTGATGAATCTGCCAATCAAAGATGGTAATGCAGGGCATGTTCGCCCAAGCTATATTCTTGTAGGAGGAAAGAACTGGAGCAGGGGAGTTATGGAGATATGACTCTGCAATTGCCATGTTAGGCTTCTCCTTTCTCTACCTTTGGAATGTGGAAACCCCGCATTTTCACATCTTTTATGCTTTGTCTAGGTATTGGTAAAAATAAAACATATTTTGCTCGTTGGGTCTCATGTATCACAGCATTGGTGTAGGGCAGCTTGTGCCGATCATCATAGGAAATTGATCCTGAAGCACCAAAAACATCTTCAATCTCCTTGTGGACTTTTTCTGTGAGGAGAGGGAAAGGCAAATCCATTTTGAATGATGCCATTTATGATTTTTTTTTTGTATAAATATTTTATTTTTTCTTGTTTGCATATCGTTGTGTGGACAGTGTGGCACCAGAGTGTCTTATGTTTTAAGAAAAATATGACAATATTGTTCATATTCAATACAGTTGACAATGTTATAAATTTTCATATTTATACACATATATTCTTTGATTATTCACCATTTCAGTATCTTATTTTTGTGTCAATTTCCATATTCTAAATATCCCTCTTTTGCTACAGATAAAATATTATTCATCATATTTGTAGTGTTTAATACAGTGGTCGCCAATTGGTGGGCCGAGGACCACTGGTGGTCTATAGAGAAATGTCTGTACACAAAGCACTCCCCCCAAAGCAATTACTCCAGGCTGCGCGGGAATACACGCCCACATGGCCCTCCCACCTGCTGGCCCCACCCTTCAGCTGAGTGCAAAACTTACCCTGAGTAGAGCCATGCGAGCTGGAACTGGAAGGTAAAACCAACAGCAGGGGAGAGAAATCCACCCCAGGGAGGCTTGCGGACCTTGGTGGGAAAGTCAGTCCCATATTCCAGAGCTGCAGTAGTCAGAAGACTGGCCCTTTGGTCATTCCAGATCAGCTCCTCCAGTCCATGGCAGGCTGGTACACCCGGGTGGAGGAGCAGCTGCTGCAGCATAACCAAAGGGCCAGTCCTATGACCACTGCAGCTCTGGAATATGGGACCTGTTTTCTCTTTCTCATTTGTGTCCTAGTTTCCAGCTCATCTACGCTCTATATTTTATTCAAAATTTCTTCACATCTCCTTGTCAAAGTGTCCTTCATATCCTGAATTTCTGTCACAATTTCTTCCCAAAGTCCAATCATCTTTGTTTTTATTTATTTTATTTCTTTTTGTCCAAAAATCCAACAATCTTTTATTCAAACTAAATCCACTTCTTAAACAAAGAATTCGATGTCCAAGAGTCTCTATATCCTCTGGTTAATCAGTTTGTTTTTCTGAATAAACCAAAAATGGGACCTTTATAGAACTTCCTTACAATTCAGTCTATATTGAAACTTTCAGGGGTCTTTTTAATAATGAAGTCTTTGTAAAAGACTTTCAGGGGTCTTTTAAATTTCCTTTCCTGTATTTTGGGAATATATTGTGCCTTCCTTTGATAGCAGGTGGTGCTCTTACATCAGTTTTCACTTTATCTTGTCTTCCAAATTCTCCAAATTCTTCAAAATATTAATATAAAATTCAAAATGGTTCCAGCATTTTACAATGCCTATCCAAAGGCAACATCTGTCTAATTTAACTTTCCAATTTTCTGTGTTTTAAGCGGATTTTCTATTTTCTTCCTTTCTTTTCCATTTTAAAATCTTAAAGTTTTAAACATTAAAATACTCACAATGTTAGGTCGCTACCACTTGAACAATAGTTCTGAATGTTTCTTTTTCTGAATCTTCTTTTTTTGGGGTGGTGGGGTGGTGGTGGTTACACTTTACATGCAAAAGATTTTTCTCACCCAGTCCCAGATACTGTTCACCAGCTCTGCTCCAGCATTTTTCTTGGTTATGAAGCTGTCTCCAGCTGTGTAGCAGCCATCTTGGCTGCCTCTTCTTCTTGCCATGGCACAGAGGGCTTAGAAAGTCCTGGGGCTCTACAAGAGAGTAGCATTCTCCCCTGGAACCTCACAGGACGCCTCTCTTTTGCTTCACTGCCCCTCCAGGGTGGCTTTGGCTGATTAAAAAGGCTATAAACAAGAAGAAGCCAGGACAGGGATGGACAGCTCCAATCCCTTGTGACTGGTATTGCTGCGATGTCAATTCTGTTCCTTGCCAATTATGATTGAATAATCTCTTACAGATATCTGGTTTTGTTAAATTATTTCCTATAAGTTTATTTATGAACAAAAACTTCAGGAGGTAGAGTAGGCTTAGAAAAGCTACTACAAGTATGTTCCCTCCATCATTTTCAGAATTAAGTGCAGATTTGAGTCTATAACAGCAGAATGCATGAAAACTTAAACTTATTCAATATATTGAAAAATTAGTCAATCCCCTGATCATCATTCCATATTACTACATAGAATTAATAACACAAGTAGTCCTTGACTTCCAACAGTTCATTTAGTGACCATCCAAAGTTACAATGGCACTGAATAAAGTGACTTATGACCATTTTTCATAGTTACAACCTCAGCAGCATCTCCATGGTCATGTGATCAAAACTCAGATGCTTGACAACTGGTTTATATTTATGATGGTTGCTGTGTCCCAGGGTCATGTGATAACTGTTTGTAATCTTATGACAAGCAAAGTCAATGGGGAAGCCAGATTCCCTTAATAATTGGGTTACTAACTTAACGACTTCAGTGATTCATTTAACAACTGTGGCAAGAAATGTCATAAAATGGGGCAAAAATTCACTTAACTTGTCTCATTTAACAACATAAATTTTGGGCTCAATTGTGAATTGTGGTTGAGGACTACTTATACAAATTACTACAGCAGTGTTGTTTAATATTTTTTTTAATATTTATATGATTGGGTTTATTTTAATTTGCAAACTAATAATCTTTATTATAGGTTCTAAATTTCCATAGAATATTATTGTGAATATATCAGTAGTTATTGAGATGTCAAAGAATTCCTGTGTATTTTCCACTCTGGTCATTGTTCCCACTTCCCAGAGTTGTCTCACCTTGGATGTCGGGATGATTTACCAAGAGAAGCACTGCCCACATCAGGCTAGAATAGGTTGTTTCTGCTCCAGCAATAAACAATTCAAGCAGACAGCAAGCCAGGTTCTCTTCATTATAGACAGAGTTGAGGTCATCCTTGTTCTATGTTTAAAATGAGAAATTCAACTTACAATAAATTTTAGGCTTCCTTCAATATGTTTAATGTTATTACACACAAATATTTCCATGCTTTGTTTCCAGCACTCACCCGTACGCATGTCCATCCTCTTATCCAGTTGCCACAGCTGCAGCCCATGAAGAGGATCAAGGCCCTCTCCTCCCCAATAGACCACATCTCTCCCTTATCCTCTCCTCCCTGCGTGCCCTAGGATGGAGAGGGGATGGGCCTGGGTCCTCCTCTGACTGCCCAGCTGGCCTTTGCCCTTCCCCAGTCTCCTCCACAACCTCCAGAGCCACACTTCCGCTCCCTGTTGGTGGTTCCTCCTCTCCCTCAAAGTCCATTTCCACCAGGGGCATGAGATGCCCAAATCTCCTCATGCCAAATTCATTCTGCACCAGCTGGAGCTTCAGGATACTTTTCAAGGATAACCCAGTGTAAAGTGCATTGCAGTAGTCTATTTGTGAGGTGACTAGGGCATGAGTGTCAGAAAGAAGAGCCTCTAAACCCAGGAAAGGGTGCAACTGGAATACAACATGAAGTTGAGCAAAGCCACAACTGTCAACTCCCCAAGTAGGAATGGTGAGTTCAGAAGGACTCCCAGATTATTTATTGAATATGTCTGGGGCAGTCCCATCTAAGATCAAAAATGGTAAACCTCAAGACACAAAACAGCCTGCGGTTTTCCAGACCTCATCAGTCTCCAAACATTGCCAAAGGGCATCCACAAGGACAAAGATGTGCAATTGGATAATATCTGCATATTGATGATACCTCATCCCATAGTGATGAAGATCTTACCCAATGGCTTCATGTAGATGTTTAAAAGGAGTGGAGACAGCCAGCCTGCATCAGAGGAGCAACAACTTGGAGGCTGTTCCCGTGTACAGGTAGTCCTTGGTTAGGAACAATAATTGGGTCCAGGATTTTCACTGCTAAATGATGCAGTCACAAAGCATAATGTCATGTAATTGTGCTGTTTAGGGAAGGTGGTTCCAGCACTTTGAGTTGTCACCATTTGGAACTTCCTGACAGCTTCCCCACTGACTTTGCTTTCTGGAAGCCAGCAGAGAAAATTGCAAATGGTGATCATATGATCAGAGGCAAGTTGAACCAACCAGAACATGAGGACCAGTGTTGAGGTATTCCCCATTAGGAGAATGAGTGCACTCAGGGAAATGTAGTGAGAGTGATGTTGAATAACACACAACCAGCATACTGATACACTGAATAGTAAAATGTAGGTTTTACTTCCAGTAAATGGGTAAACAAAGTCCAACAAACAGTCCAAATCATACAGGTAGTATTCAATACAATCAGTCCAGGGATAATCCAAAAACGAAGTTCAGTATCATAAACAAAGTTCAGTAAACGGAATTTGCTAACAGTTGCAAGACTCACAGCAATCCAAGCAGAATAACGATCAGGCAAAAGGCAATAGGTAAAATGCAAGAAGAGAACAAACTAGGTTTCTGGCTCCATCTTATGGCCATTGGAGGAACCTCAGCCAATCACAATTACAGCACTCTCTTAAAGATACAATAGTATTAAATAACTATCCTGGTTTATATATTGCCAATCCAACTGTTAGGTGACTATCAATCCTAACAACCAGCATTAAGTACTACATATTTTAGTACCATTGTAACTTCGAACAATTGTTAAACTGGTCTTGTTAAACAAGGAGCTAGTTCCCAGCTCTGGCATTGTCAACAAGGGTTGTGGGCTTTTTTTGTTCTCTCTAATCTTCTATCACACAGCTAATGGTCCTATGTCCTATGCCTCATGAGGAAAATCAGTTTCAGATGAATGGGAAGGTTTAATAGAATAGAACCGTGAAGGTGAACCTATGGCACGCGTGCCACAGGTGGCACACAGAGCCATTTGTGCCAGCACGTGAGCTGCAGGCAAACTTACATCACTGCACTGTGCCTGTGCCTCACAGCTGATTTTTGGCTGGTTTGAGGCCTTTTTCGGCCTCTCAGAGGTTTCAGGAAGGCTTCTGCAGGCTTCTGCAGGCTTTTCAACTAGGCCCATTTTGTCACTTCCTGTTTTTCCAGAGATACCAGAAGTGACAAAACGAGCCTACTTTTTGGCCTGAAAAGACTGCAGAAGCTTTCCTGAAGCCTCTGGGAGGCCGAAAAAGGCCTTAAACTGGCCGAAAATCAGCTGTGAGGCACAGTGAAGATAAGGGGGTGGGTGGTGGGTGGGAGGGGTGTGGGGATTGTGCACACATGCATAGGGGATGTGGGGGGACACGCATTGCCTTCTGGGTGCTGGCACATAAGTGCGAGAGTGCAAGCGCATGCACAATTTTTGGCACAGGAGTCCAAAAAGGTTAGCCACCACTGGAATAGAGACATAAGAATGCAAGCTTTATCAGAACAATACCATAGCAACCCTTGAACCTTAAGATGCAGCTATTTCTTCTAAGACCATTGTTCTCTGTAGAAAACAAAAGGGCGTGAAGCAATCTGAGATCTATTACTTTATTACTTTGCAATGTGTACATATGAATCATTTCCCCCTCCTTTCTGAAATGCATATACGATTGTAGGTCTCCTCAATTTACTACCACAAATGAGCCCCAAATTTTGATTACAAAGCAAAACATTTAATTAAGTGAATTTTGACCCACTTTCGTGACTCAGGCTTCCCTACTGACTTTGCTTGTCAGAAGGTCGCAAAGGGTGATCATATCACTGTGGGACACTGCAACCATCGCAAATATATTCCAGTTGCCAAGCGTCTGAAGTTTGATCACATGACCATGGAGAGGCTGCAAAGGTCATGAGTGTGAAAAACAGTCCTAAAACATTTTTTTTCCAGTGCCATTGTTACTTTGAATGGCCACTAAATGAACATGCTGTAAATTGAGAACTACATGTATTCTTTTGGAGGAGGTGAATGGGACAACTTGCCACAACTAACTTGCTATAGCCAACTCACCATGGCCAACTCGCCATGGCCAACTTGCTACAGCCAACCCATCATGTCCAACTTTCTGCAGGACAACTCACCATAGCCAACTCGCTGTGAGACAATTTAATAATTCTATTTAATTATTTAAAATAAGTAAAAATTATTTTAATTTTTGCTATTCACATTTCATTCTGTCCTTCCTTTTGCATCCTTTCTTTAATGATTGTGTTCCACCATTTCTTTGGTATTAGTGTAACTCTTGTCCAGCAGTGAACAATCCTGTGGTGGGATGACCATGGCAAGTGGTCCTGCAGTGAGTTAGATGTGGCAAGTTGGCCATGGTGAGTTGGCCGTGGCAAATTGTCACAGATCCTGGAGAGGAGCCCCCCCATTATGTCTAGTAAACCCTATAGTGAGCCTTGATTTTTTTATGCCCTGTATTTGAATTTCCACAGCCTTCATGTCAACTCATAAAATATTTCTATGGTCTTTTTAGAGTAGCCAACAGAAAGGAAAGGGGGAGCAGTGCAGCACTTTGCAAACTGAAATTGCATTCTATAAATATTTTCAAAGATAGTAACTAGGTGACCGAAGTTTCTGACACGTAAAATTTTAACTGGAGAGCATAATTGTTGACTCTTGGCTATGGATGTGTCCTATTGGAGAATATGGGTTATGATACACCCAGGGAGTGGAAGAAAACCAGGGTCAAGGGTGACAATGAATTATGTGTCTCAGAGTTGGTTACATCCAGGCAATGCCAGACAGTTTAATTCCCAATAAATCCTTTTTGAGTTTTGGAAGTTTGGCTCAAGACTCATGATTTAAATAGGGGTAACTGCCGGAATCCTGACACTTCACCTGTCATCCACAACAATCTCCAGTCCCCAGATAATAAGAAAATTCTAAATACATTCCATGAATACAAATTTCCAAATACATATCCCATCATGTCATGGATCCTAATGAAAAATGGGTGGCATAACTTGATATGATAAACAAAAAATAAATGTGTATGTAAATAGGCAAAATACCTTTTCCATTTGTAGTAGATAGAAATCAATGAAATCCTGTGGGTCATGCAGAGATTGATATTGCTTGTGTCTTTCTACTTCTTGCCTTACAAATGAAAGGATAAACTTGGCAGACTCTATAGGCTTCTGGTGAGGTCCAGGAAGATGTTTCATCAACCAAGGGATTGTCTCATAAACCTAAATAAATAAATACATAAATCCATCATGTCTTATTACCCCGTTTCCCCAAAATAAGACTTATCCCAAAAATAAGACCTAGCATGTTTTATGTATGCACCTTATAAAAAATAAGCCCTACTTAAGTACCTGTACAGTTGGCTGGCCAGCCACTCATTCCATTTGGTTGCTCGTGGTGCCGCTGACACAAGGTGAGGTGAGGGGTGGCGGCATGCTCTATGTGCCCTGCACCAGCTTACCTCTGGGCTCCTGCAGCCAGGCCGCCCATGCTGCAACAACTGCCTCTTGACCATGGCACCAGCATGTTAATTGGCCTCCTGCTCCACTGCAGCTGCGAGCAAGCAGAAGAAGTGGACTGGATGCCATGCAGGGTCCTGCTGGAGAGGGCTGTTGGAGCCGCCACTTCAGGTGTTGGGGCATGGGTGGCCTGGCTGTGGGAGCCCTGAGGTAAGCTGGTGTGGGGTGTGTGTGGCAGCTCCATCCTCACCTTGTGGCAGTGACACTGGTGCCCCACATGGCCTCCTGCCCTGCTGCGAGCAAGCAGAAGAAGTGGGCCTCCCGTATATGGAAAAAAGACACCCCCTAAAAATAAGCCCTAGTGCTTACTTTGGTCCCCAAAAGAAAATAAGGCTGGGTCTTATTTTGTGGAAAACACGGGTATTATGAATAGTTAGAATAAGGAATTTTCCCTCTGCAAAAGGGTTAGTGCGAAGGGAGGGAGGGTGCAAGAGAGAGAGGGGGGAATAGAGATCGGGAGAGAGAGAGGAGAGAGTGTGAGAAGGTAGAGATACTGTTAGGGATATACCCTAGCAGAATGTGCACAGAAGTCAGGCAGTCAGGCGAATATGAGAGAAAGCGTTTTTTAGTTTACACACTCAGTAAAAACGGATACACTGTCTTAGTTGAATAGTTTATTCCATTAAGAGTTTAGCAAGGTCAAACAGTCCAAATATCATTCACTAGTCAGTTCAGTCCGGAGATTGTTCAATTGCAAAAAAATCCAGTGTCGATAAAAGGTCAGTTAACTTACAATGTCAATCCATAAATCCGTCCAGTAAATATCTTCTCACAGTAGATTAGATATGCAGCATTCAAAACTCTTTCCTCCTTCCACATCAACAACAGGGAACATGCAGAACAATCAACCATCAATCCAGTAGCAATCCAGGTTCTCTAGCTCCCTCTTATGGCAGTTTCTCAACCGCACCCAAATTATATCATTTAGAGTTTAAAGTGAAAAACACATTTAAACTTTGCTATCATGGTTTATATATTATTTACCCAAACAACGTTAGGTAACTATGGTTATTCCTAACAGATACATATTGGCTTCATAGCTGCTCTATGAAGTATAACGCATATCCAGAATAAGGGTTACTTATTTACTCAAAGGATTTGTATCTCCAATGAATTTGAGTTATGATTCAGGATAGACAGTCCTGAAGGCCACCAAGACATCCACAAGGACCATAATGCACCACCTCTATCCCAGTTCCACTACAAGTCATCAGTAAGCATGACCATTCCATCTTCATACTGTGTCCAGGTCTGATGCCTACCTGAAACGGATCCAAATACAGGTAATCCTCGACTTAATGACCACAACTGAGCCCGAAATTAAATGAATGTTAAGTGAATTTTGCCCCATTTTAGTCCTTTCAAGCCATGGTTGTTAAGTGAATCACTGCAGTTGTTATATTAGTAGCACAGTTGTTAAGTGAATCAAGCTTCCTCATTGACTTGGCTTGTTAGAAGGTTGGAAAATGGGATTAAATGACTCCGGGGCACTGCAATTGTCATAAATGAGAGTCAGTTACCAAGCACCTAAATGTTAACCATGTGACCACAGGGATGCTGCAACAGTTATAAGTGTGAAAAATGATCACAAGTCACTTTTTTCCAGTGCTGTTGCAACTTTGAACGGGCACTAAATGAACTGTTGTAAGTCGAGGATTATCTGCAATGTGATTCATACCCAGGATTTTAGTGCTCTAGCACAACCACATTTTTCAACAAACTTAGCTAAGAAAGAAAGGTTGGAGACAGGATCGAAATTATCAGCCAACCAGATCTAGCAATGCCTTCTTTCTTGAAGAGGGACTGGACCACTGCAGGTGGGACTATTCACTTTTTTCAAAGGGTCAATATAATAACTGTCAAGACGGAATCGCGTTGCTTTGTTCAAAACCTAATGCTTTTCAACCTGCCAATAAAGGAAGGAGGAAATCTAATGTGGAAAAATGTATGCAGGGATTGTGAGAGGCTTGGAGCCAGCAAAGTCACCGCTGCAGGTGCCTGGGAAAGAGATGGACTGTTCTCATAACAAAAGACATTCTCATAATTGGACAATGTGATCATCCAGGGGAAGGGAAAAAGACAAAATATTGTTTAACTGGGCAAGCATCTGAGCAGGAAACCAGAGCTGATTTCGTTTTTTTTCAGTACCAACATGGTCTATCCAATAAAGTTTTACTTTTGGGAATTCAATTCTCCTGAGAGTGTTTCCTTGTTTTAGGTTCACTAATTGAACAGTTGTCAGTAGCAAGTATGTCAATTGAATATCTTATCTTATCTTATCTTATCTTATCTTATCTTATCTTATCTTATCTTATCTTATCTTATCTT